AGCAGAAGCGAGAAAAAGAAAGGGCAAGGGCAAGTGAATATAACTATAGGAAAATCAACACTTACATCTGAATGTGGGAGTTGGGTGCAAACTTGAAAGTATGAACATGCTAAAATATGAGAGATTACATCTCATATGATTATAGTTCAAGAGTTATCTTTCATTTTTACAGAGTTTATAATCAATAAATTAGTAGGTGTGATCATATTTGTAAAATTATTTATTAATTTTTTTATATGAAAATCTAGATACTCGTTTGAATTTTTAGTTTGTTTATTAGCTTATTTAAATACTCGTTCACTGATCATAAACAAATCAAGTTCAAACAATAAAAATTTTAAATAAGTCAAGCTTGAAGGGTGAGTGGGTCAAGCGTGGCTCACCTGCATTGGTTTTGTCGAGGCTTTCTTGTGTTGTGGAGTGGTATGTTGGCCCTTGGGCCCACTCTTATTTATCAAATTATTATATTTGTGTTTCAAAGAGTCTAGGTTTAGTTTTTGTGTCATGTTTCTATTCAAAACAGTCGTCGATATCCAAGTTTCTCCCTTATAGGATTGTATCCAAAGGCGGGTGGTGCTTTGGTTGTAGCTCATCTGAGGACGTGATACTCTTCCGAGGGTCGAGTTGTGGTCCGGCTATAGCTTGTCTCGGAGGGAGTATTTATCCTCAACTTCCAATCCGCCGCAAACATCCCCTTATTGTCACCGTCGCCTTTCCTTTGTCGGAACCACCAGACAGCCCTCTTGTTGTCTTCTTGTAACTCCAGCCGTCAGCCACAACCTCCTCCAACTACTGCCATCCTTTCCAGACACCTCCCACCTTGTCGACGCTCATTCCAGCTGCTTGTCTTCGTTGTCCAGCCATCCCTCCTAATTGTTGCAGCCCCGTGATAGCCCTCCCCTTGTTGTCCCGCAGTCCCACGCATTTTCCACCACTGCCTCCATCATTCCCGCTTGTTGCCGCCACCCTGAACAGTTGTTCCCCGACTGTTTGCTGAGGTTACAGCCCTCCAACCAGCCCCTACTTGCTATCTCTCAGACGGCCAACCTCCACCTTTCCAAATCGCAGCCCACCGGAACTTCACCCTCCGTCTCCTACAGCCATCTACCGCCTTGTCACCATCCTCCTATTATCCACTCACCAAACCGACCACCACCTTTTGATACATCTAGCTGTGTTTGTTTGTTTTTTCTTTTCAACTGTGTGTGATTGTAATCGCATATTTGCTTTCAATAATAATATTTGTGCTTTAATCATTGTTTGAGTTAACTCTGGTATCAAAAGCCCTCTAGGCAAGCTTCCTCTGCACTTCTCACTGTTTTGCATAATAGAGACTGTCCTATTTATGTGCTGCTCCCAGTTCACACTGGCAGCCATTGCCTTATCCATTTTAACCTACTCGTGAAACACTCATACGCACACATCAGGTCTCCTCATTGCAACCCCCTTGATGGCGTACCACATCAAGGCAAGCCAAGCTCATCCAGATAAAAATCAAAGTGACCCTCTTGGAACACAATTTTCAGGTTTATGGTCTTATTCAACATATTTACTGTAGAGGAGCAAATAGATGCTAGAAAACTGCAAGACGAAATGAAAGTGATCCAGAAGGAAAACGAGGACAAACTTGCTGAGATGCTCAGAGTCGATTGCACTAGTATTTTATTGGTAACAAGGAAGCCTCTACTAGGAAAGCTTGCTAAAGCAACTTACGAGTTGATATGCTAAGCACGTTTGGCTGCATATATGAAAGGCAAGGTGTAAAACAGATTAAACCAAAAAAGGGTACATTGCCGCATTGCAAAGATGTAAGCGCTTCATCTCGACCAAATGAGGAAAAGCTTGTTTGTATTATGTTTTTTTCTCATATAAGTATTTGAAACCCCATGCACACTTTTCTAAATATAGTGGGTTAGAGACACGTTTGTGTCGTATTGATGCCACGGGAGAAGTCATGTGTGTGTTGTTTTCCTATACGGGTACACGAACCCCATGAAAGCTTTTTTTAAATGTGGTGAATTTTGAAGACCCCAAAGCCGCAATATTGAAAAACACTGACCATACACTCTTTTCTAAGCATGGTAAGGTCTTAGCTCCCAGATGCAGCCCCCAAGCAGGAACGGCGTTGAGAGACTACTAAAATTTCGTTTGAACACACTTACAATGAATAATGAACATGAACTTATTTGGGCTAAAATGTAATTAAAATAAAGTTTTTGGATTACAAATTAAGGATATAATTGATACTTAAATTATTATATAATTTATTAAATAAAAAGATGGAATTGAATATAAATAGAACCTACTTGACGACTCAACGAGCTCTAATGAAATATGTGAACACGCTAGCTCCCCTATAAATACAAATGAGACATTCTATCGACTAATCAAAATGTTTAGAATCAAGCAACATAATTTTGGGCACTCAAGTAAAAGCCAATCGTATGAGAATGCATAACTTCAAATATACAATCTAAATCGAGAATGTTTTACTTGCCACAAGATCTGCAACACGAGCACTAGCGAACAGAAAACAAAATTGAATGCTTTAAATAAAATATTTGCATAAATTTCAAAGATAACATATTTGAGCAAAAAATAATAAAATCACCTAAAAATCACTCCAAATTAACACTCATGCATGCTTTGACGTGCTTCTAAATGCTTAAACTTAGGTGTCTGAGAATGCTCCGCAGTCTTGCTCGAAAATTATTTTTAAATATATAGCTCTGAAAAGCATGTGCATCTTAAATTTCACACCCACACATGTTCCAACTGTAATGTTGAATGCTTGATCATGGTATCTAAGAATACTATACGAGCAAACATATGATTATTTTTGTAATAGTTTGATTCAAATAAGGAGCATGCTAATCAACTTTAATACACCCGCATGTGCTCTGATATTATCTTGAATGGCTACATTTGAACATCCAAGAATGTTGCATTGGCTAATTGCATGTTTATGCTAAAATTAAATGTCTCGGAAAACAAACATTTTAAAGCATTTATAAAAACCCTTTTTCAAGTCAATCTAAAACCATAAAGTTGTGTATGCTCTCTTGCGGACTGTCTTGCCTAGAGGGTGATGTTGTAAGTCCTACTTTGGCCAGTTCAATTCTCTTCCCTAGAAGGACTGAAGTTGACAAAATTGAGCTATAATATACCTAACGAATCCTTCTCATAAAGATTGGAGTCAACAGACTAGTATTTTAAACGATGCTTAAGTAATAACTTAACCCTTATGATAGTCGTGTTGATATTGAATCTCAACTGGAGATGTCTATTAGCAAAATCAAGTCTCAAAGTCTATTTCTAAATCTCAAATGATACATACTATGAACCCAATATATTGTAAGCACGACAGATTTGATAATTTTCAAATTCAATCATGTGTCAATTATTGAACCCAATCTTCTATAAGCGAGGAAGAGTCTATAAGGTTTAAATCAAATAATCAATTCCCAGATGATGGTCGTATTGATGGTGAATCTCAATCAAAGGGGATCTTTTCATAAAGTCAAACTTTTAAATTATAAAATCTAAAAATATTTAAATAGTACGAGTCTTTTATCCGCATGGTTAGGTTAGTATGCTCCACAAAAGAAACAATTATGACTAAACTCTCTGACTAGGTGATTTATCGCTACATGGAACATTTATATTATGATCACGATTATAGTTCATATGTTCTCCCATAGTATTTTCGCTTTTTGAGTTATGAATCATAGGATATATTTGTGTTATTTGTAAGTTAAGCTCGACTTAAATTAGTCCCCTCAGACAAGCATCCACCCCACATCTATGAGATTCTTTTGAGATAAGCAACCCATAAGTACCAATAAGAATATTTCTATCAGGTTAATTCAACTACCTCCTCTAACTAAGTATACAAAGGACCAAGACGACCAGAGATGACAGCCCCCCCCCCCCCCCCCCCCCAACAATCCATTTGTAAGCTCACAATTATGATTTCATAATTTCAAATTTTAAATTTGTTGTTACTATTTGCCAAGTTTGAATACTTAATGTCTAATGAATAACCTTAATTGAAAGTGTTCTCCCGTTATTGGGAGAGATAATTAATCATAAGGGTTTGTGTTTATGGGAAATCTCAAACCCCAGATCTTAATGTCCTCATAAAAAGAGGGTGAAATTTATGGGTAGTGTTTTATATACTATTTCATCCGCCTTCTGAAAATTTGACCTGGAACCTCACGATAAACTCCGTCTTCTGCTTTCATTCTTATTTTTTCGAGGGAGGCCGAGGCGTAAAATTTTTGGAGTCCGCATTAGGACCTTCCACCTAATGCTTATAATTTTCCTCTTGCCCCTTTAGTAGAAGATCCCCCCACGTTTGTTCAAGTCTGGTCATAAAGCCAAGACTAATTTCTCTTCTTGAGATAATAGCTAAAATTCCTATCTCAGCTAGCCCACTCGTGTTGGTCATTCCATTAGTTGTTGCTATTATAATTGCGAATATTCCGCGAGATCTTGAAAAATCTAATTCTTTTTCCGCTTGTGAACAAAATAACAATTATTTATCAGAAAAATTATCATATTGATTAGAGCATTCACAATGTCAATTCTCTAATTGATAAGAGATTCCATATTATTTATATTGCCACTCACCTTCTTTCATTAGACATCAAGCTATGGTCCAAATGAATACTTTATATCTTTTTTATGTTGTGGTAGTTCTTTTTCCACTCTGGCCTTTATTGGTAAATATCTTTTCTTGTATTCATTCCACTATAAAAAAAAGTTTGTCAGCATACTGAAACAAATATATAATAGTTAACAAATATCACTGAAACAAGCACGGTGACCCACAAAAAGATGTCTTAATAGAAACAAAATATTTATAAAATTGAGCTAAATAAACTAGTGCAAGAAAATACTTCCAACTTTTTGTTAACAGCGGAGAGTAAAACGAACATAGAACTTTGCATGTGAAAATTAAGAAAGCATATAAAGTATAATAATAAGGGATTAATTACCAATCCATCAGTATTGTTAAAGTAATGCCTCCACAAGGGCCTCAGCTTCTCTTGCCCGCCTACATCCCAGACTGTGAAGATCACATTTTTATATTGAACTTTCTCTACATTGAAACCTGCATTAAAAATAATAATAAAACACAAGTCTAATAACAAGTCTATTAAACAAGACTGCAGGAGTCGGAAAGAATTTATATACAACAAACATGTTCAAAAAGTTTTAGAAGAATGATATTTCATTGCAAACAAATGTCTTGTCATTATGTGAAAGCAGTAATTACCTCTTGACAAGTCAATTCCTTCATCCAGTATATTGAGCCCCTTAGAATCTATACTTACCAGCCGCCCGTTACCCGTTACAACACTCGCAATGGAAGAACTTCACAATTCAGGGACTTTTTATGCAATTTTTAGCTGCGCTTTACAATACTGGGACTTTAGCTTGTGTTTCCTAAGCAGGATCGTAGTTATACTTCTGCTGAGATTTCTAAATAAGCAGCAGTACCTCAGCATCTCATACGGTGCTTAAAGTATATTTTGTGTTGCATATACTTCTGTTGGCAGTTCCAAGGTGATTTTGCAGCTTCTACAGTTAAGAAGGTTTGTAGCATTTATGATTTTAAATTTCTAGAATGAGGCTGACGGATAATCCTTAGTCGTTTCTTCCTGAATTATTTTCTTACTATAAATAGAGGTAGGAAGCATGTGAAAGAAACATTGATTGCTAAAATAAAATCATTTTAATTGTGTAAATCCTCCTCGCTGAGGGATTATAACGCTTTGATCAAATGTAAGACTTTAAATCCTACGAGATCGCCATATTTAAATTGAGGATTTTTTTGTGATTTATTTCCCCTTTTTTCTCTCCTCTTCCCCTCACTGTTAAATCAATTATTTTGCATTATTGGTTGTAAGGTGATGAGGTTTTGTAAGATTTGCTGCAATAAAAATTCCTTTCATTCGCATAAGAATGAATGTCTGCGTGAGACTTTCGTGTTACTTAATTTCTTCATAATATCTAGAATAAAGGTCCCGAAAATTCTACCATTTTTTCCATTTTCATCAAAGACAATCCATAGTGGTTTTAGATTACTAGCTTGCATCATGAGAGTTTTTTTTATTACATCTCTGCGTGTGGATTTTGTGTTCCTCAAGGTTTTTTTCACAAAATCTAGCATAAGCTCCTGAATCTTTCATCCAAGTTGAATTCCACCATAGGGGTTTTAGATTACTAGCTTGCATCATGGGATTTATTTCTTGTTTGTTCCATTATTTTGTATATCCATATAATATACATATTACGAAATACGGACCCTATTCCTATCGCATTTGGTATCAATAAAGCAAGTGATTAGAAAGCATAAAATGCGCTACAAAACTAATCTTAAAATTGCCTTCATGCAATTGACAAAGAAATTTTTTCTTGGACTTAACGTAGATTCTTAGAAACATAAGCATATAAAAAAGAACTTCAAAATGGCATGTAGAAGAGAAAACTAGGAGGAAAAAACAATGAAAAAGTAGAAGCTTCACAAACAAAACCGTTCGGTTAATAGCATAATAGCTTCAAATGCAAATTGAAAATCTCTTAACTTACCTTCTCAAATCTAAAAGCGCAGGTGGTAAAATCAAACAAGCAGAAATTCATTAGTGCATGGGTCCTCAAGGCTGCGCTTTCAAAGCAGAAAAAGAAAAGGCATGGAAGTGTTATCCAAAACCATGTAATGACCAAAGTGGATCCTTAAGCATTGAATACAAAGTTCCAATAATTCAAAATTACATAAAAAAAGCAATAAATAAGCATCCAAAAGTCTAACAATAAGCAACTTCTGGTAGAATGTTAAGAAGATAATCTACAACCATGCGATAGAAACCTCCTCCTAAGGTAAAAGCAATGTGATTGAAACATCAAATATAGGAACCCTGGATAAACACACCTCATACACCATCATTTTTAGATATTTTTTCCTTGTTTAGTTCAAAAAAGGTTATTGTAAGAAGATGATTACGAAGTCCAGGGGATGAGACGAATGTGAGTTTCTAATACAGCATGATTGTCAAGACTTCACCAGTAGGCTAGAAGTATAATAGACAAAAATGTTAAAAAAAAGTAAAATACGGATTTGATTTTGTAATCATACCTATTGTTGGAACTGTTGATAGAACTTCACCAATGTGCAGTTTATACAATATAGTTGTCTTACCCGCTGCATCCAGTCCAAGCATTACAACCTATGTGAAATGTTGATAAAAGAACAAAAGTGCATTTGTTAAAATCTGAGAATTTTAGCAGGAATTTGAAAACAAATAAAATCAACGAGCAAAAGAACTAATTTCCACAAAATAACATTTTCAACATGGAATTTTTTTACTAAAATGAAGGTACTGAACAACCAAAAACAAATCATGTAGAAGAAATAACAAATAACAAAATTACCAAAGAAAAGAAAAATCGTGCATTATATCCGTACAAAACAATGACTTCCTCTAAGAAACTACACATTCAACTTGCACTCATAAGATCATAATTAGCCAAAAATTATAAATTACATGCCTTCGACCGCTACTTATAAACTCAACATACCTAGGTTAGTAGATAAGAGTATCATAGAATCAATCAATCTCTGATAAGATCATAATTAGCCAATTACAAGAACCACCGTTTAAGGCATACGCCTTGAGCAGTTCGGGTGAGGCTTACACCTCACATTGGTTAAGGCACGCCTCATCTCAATTCCACTGAGGTATGCGCCTCTCATGCTTAGGTTTTTTCCGTATATTAGACAATTGGAATACAAAAAGCCGCACTTTCACATGCAAGAGTTCCCTTCTCCCATTTTAAGCTCCTCAACATCGTCGTTAACTACCACTTTTGGCACGTCCGCCACCATCCCCTATACTTCAATCATCGCCATCACCGCTTGCCACTTCAGCGGCCAGCAATAACACCGTTGCTTCCACTATAGCAGTCGCCTACTTTTACTATAGCCTATTGTCGCTCCTGTTGCAGCCATCGTTGTCTGCGCTTCTGCTATCGTTACCGTTGACAGCTGCTCTTGTTGTCGCTACCATCGCCTTCTTCTCTAACTTTTGTTTATTTAGTATGTTTTTACTTAGATCTATGGATATTATTATGTTGGTTGGATAATAAGAGAGAGAATATTGCCGTTCTAAACTCATCTTACGTCTTACTTTGTATTTTATATTACTTTCATTTTATATTCCATGTTAGTTTGATGACTTGCTCAGTTAATGTTTACATTATATTTTTATTTGTGCAAATTGTATAAGATATTGTGTAGGTTATATAATTTGTTATTTTATATAAACACAATGTCCTTTTTACCATGCTGGAATATATATATATATAATGAAAAAGTCCAAGGGCTGATATATTAAAGATAAAGGTACAGATAGATTTGTATGGGTGGGCCTAAACACCCAACCCACACGATACAACACACACCAAAATATGTAAAATAAGTGTACATATAGAAATAAAAGTAACCTAAAAACCACCCGGTGCTGAAAAAGTGTGGGTCATCCCAATCTAGTCTTGCCTCTGGCTCTAGTTCTCGATAGGGATCCAGCTAACAAATTGATAAGGTGCTAACCATTACACGTAGTAACCAAAGTATCATCCATAAGACTCCTGAGCTCTGGTAAATCTCCATTCTTCTTCCTCCTGAAAGTGTAAACCTGTCACTCCTCCTCCGAAGAATCCGCCTAATGGGGTAGAGCTGAAGCAGAAGGATTACCAACAGTAATACCCACAATAGGTTCTACAATATGTGAAATATAAGTTGTAGCTACACCGGATACTTCTTGAAAAAGTGGAGCTACAAGGCTCTCCTGATTAGGTGCCAGCATCGCATCACTCGCAGTAACAGTAACAACAGTGTCATTGGGGGGGTCCTACGGAGAAACCGACACCTCCTGTCTGGTAGTATCCTCCTCAGGTGGAACTAAAATGTCCACAGCAGTGGGGTTAGACCCATCCTTGTTCACTTGAACCTTAGATTTCAAATTAGCATGAAATTTGTGGCACCAAACATCTTACAGTGGGTATATCTTACAGTGGATATAATATGGGGGTTTGTGTTCCATGACAATTTGTTGCCAATACCCATTATGGGTTGTGCCCAGCCAGACTTCAGTAACATCTGGTAAATTAATATCCATTTCCACCAGTATTCTGGCCACCGAGGATCTGGTTAGGTTGAAAGTAGACATATCTAGTTTCAAAGGAACTCCAAGAATGACTCCAATAGAGTAGAGAACCTGATGATGAAAAAAATACAACTTGAGACAGGTAAACTAAACCATACCGGTACAGTGGGAGTTTCATGATTTGGGTCGAAATTAGGAGACCACTTGAGTAACTTCATTGATTTGTCTTCGATATTAAGATATTTCTTGGAGAAAATTCTTGTGTGGTCTTCAGTCATTGTTAGTTAGATCAACACATGTCTCTTATCTATGAGTCTCACTTTTCACTTGCCTACTAGCTTAAGTTCATCAACACTCTTTTTGATAACATCCATATGAGGGTGTCCCCACTGAAATTTTTCAATAAGAGCAAACTTAAATTTTTCCGTCATGGTAGAAATTTTTTTGGTTGGCAGAGTTTGTAAGACCTCTGGGTCACGGGTTCGATCTCGCTTATGTGCGAGATGAAATTCTTAAGCACATGAGGTTGGTCTAGAGGCTCGTATAATAGCCTCAAACCAATCTTTATATATATATTAAAAGAAATGGTCGGAGGCTATGATACGAGTCTCGGTCAACCCTCATGCGCCTATAATTCGAGTATCACACCCTACACTCGGGGGGAACTCGAACCAGAGGGGACTTACAACTGACAAGCAGATGTCCGACTAACTGATCTGCATACGCGACATATATGTATATATATATATATATATGAAAAAGCCCTAGGACAAATATATTAAAGAGAAAAATATACAGATAGGTTGTATGAGTGGGCCTAAAAAAGGCACTCAACTCACACTATACAACACACTCAAAATCCCCAAAAAGAAAAGATACATATAAGATTAAAAAACCAAAAGCCACCAACACGCGCAAAAAGTTAGGGACAGTTCAGTTTAGCCCTGCTTCTGCCTCAAGTTCTCGGAAGTGACTCGGAAGTGAGCCAACTAACAAATTGGTAAGGTGCGTGTCATTACCCGAAGTAACCAAAGCATAATCCATCAAATTCCTGAGCTCAAGTAGGTCTTCATTCTTCTTCTTCCTTATGGGTGTGTAAACTTGTCATTCCTCATCCGAGGATTGTCTCATCTGATCAGTGGATTGGTCCAAAGGTGGTCAGACAGGTGTAGACTGTTGCACATCACGAAACTCATTTGTCTGAGTAACATTAACGTCTTGCTCGACCTGATGAGGCGGTAGAGAAGCAGTAACAATATTGTCATTCATAACATCAGTGATAAATTCTAGGGCAGTTGAAGTCTGAAATGTCTCCATCGGCCCCACGAAAGGAGGTTTCAAAGATGGGGAAACTACAGCATTGTGTGAAGGGTGAATGGTTGGCATATTGCCCGTGAGGATAGTGGCATCTTCAAGGATATCCTTTTTGATTATCAATTCTATCGATAACTTGGAGCATATCAGGAGGGGGAATCACTAATGACATTGAGACTGGAGTGATCAAACATACGATAGTTCGAACAATACGAAGGGAAATGTTCAATCAAAATATTTTGTTGATATCCATGGTGTTGTGTGTCTAACAAAATTTCCTAAGAAGCAATAAAAATGATGTCCCTTTCAACGAGTATTTTGGCTTTAGAAGGACGGGAAACATTAAAAGTATGAATGTCCGTCTTGAGCGGCTTACCATAAGCTAAAGCAATAGAATACAAAATTTTTTGAGAAAAATAATGAAATTTCAAGCCAGGGAGGTGAATCCATACCGGAATGATTGGTGGTTTCATTTGTGGGTCAAAATCTACCGACCAATTCAAAATTTTCATTGCTCTGTTATCAATCCAAATTACGTTTCTAGCAAATAATCGCATGTAATTATCTTCATTATTAAGTTGAATAAGAATGTATCTTCCCTTTATAAGTCTAATTTTTCACTCCCCAACAAGATGCATAAGCTCACTCCCCAACAAGCAAGATGCATAAGCTCAAATTTCTTACGAATAAGCTCCATTTTGATATGACCATAAAGAAATATCCCAACCAAATTCAGACGACAAGAGGAAGCAAGTTGATTACATTCAGCTTCTGTAAAAAAATTGACAGGTTTCCCATTCTTCCTACAAAGTTTTTTGATGTCCTCTATCAACTCAAACGAAGGAAGGAAAGAGCACGATTTAGGAGTACCTGAGGTATGGACTCCCGCAAAGGCAATAGCATATGATCTGTCCAAAGCCATCACCACTAAAGAGAGGCAGAAAGAATAGCGAGTTTACGTAGACGGAGGAGCGAAATCCGAAAGGGGATCAACTGTAACCTTGTCAAATCCAGCAGAGGGTGAAACAGAAACGAGCCGCGCCTGAGACGCGATTCTGTTCGGATACGTCGCAGAACACGAGCCGCAGAAGATGGAAAACCGCAATCGGGGCGAAGTCGCAAACGAGCCGCGATCGGGTTGAAACCGCGAAAGACGAGCCACAGGAGATGGAGCCGCAGAAGCGCAATGGTACAGCCTGTCCTTCAGCAAGCAGCGAGCACAAAGGCACAGTTGACGACGGAAGACAAAACAGATGAGAGAATTCCTCTTCTTCTTCAAGCGTGAAAATACCGTAGCAGAGGCTAAGGTTCGCCGTGAGGCGAAACCCTAGCAGAGACTCCCACTTCCGTCATATATATATACATACACACACACACACACACACATATATATATATACATATCATGGCTTCGTCGCTCTCGCTTTCGTTTTGCTAGGGTTCGCCTAACCCTGCTTTCTCTGATTCACTGCATCTTCATCGATTTCGGCTTTCCTTGTCTTCGTCTTTGTCGCCTGTTCGTCGTCGCGTCGCAGCAGCTTGTTGTATCTCGTGATTCAGCAGCTCTTACGTGAAGGCGTCGGGCAAGGGGCGACATTTGAAGGACATCTAGGCGCGGGCTTCGGCTTCTTCTGCGGCTCGCGGCTCGTTCTTTGTCATCCCGAGAAGCGCGGGCTTCTGGCTCCTGTCGTCGCTCGCAATACTGTGAAAGACGTCTGGGGGCGGGCTTTCCTCTGGCTCAAATAGCCC